CTTTGTTTATATATATTGTTTATATAAGGATGGTTAAGCGCAAAAAGTTTAAAAAAAAGTTAGTGTATATTAAAGAATGATTTATATAATATTTCTTTGCAAACACCAATATACTCTACTTGAAATTTTTAAGTGCACTGAACTACAATTATTTTTACTTTTTTTGGTTTAGTGGCTTTTGTTCAGAGCTTTTAAATTTTGCGTTGAATTATCACACATTTCAACATATTTGTTGCATCCATACTGCAGACGTTTTTCAAAGCGCCTTTAGGTAAAAAAATTCAATTGTGACTTTTTTACAAAATAAGCTAGTTTAGATGTCTACAAATGTTATTGAATACATATTTTCAAAGAGTTATGAAAAAATTCATAAAAATTATACATTTCACAGATTTAATTTTTAATAATTTTTTTTTAATTGCGTTTTCTCGAAATACATAAGCATATTATTGCGTTTTGATAAATGGCTGCAGCATATATTTGTAGTAGCAACAAAAAATCTTTAAATTGTCAAAAGAAAGTTTTTTCTAGCTACGGGTTTTATTTATTTTTCATTTTTTATTTTTGCCTCCACAGCACCTTCTGGAGTTGCATGACTGTCTTATTAAGTTTTTTCTTTTTTTAAGTTTTAGGCAATTTTTTTCAGACCATCTGCAGCTTATTAGGACTAATTACCTGAGCACATTAATAACATAAGTATCTCAATCATGACACATACGCAACAAATTTTTCTCCCGCTGTTTTGATGTTTTTAGAATTTTTAGCTTTTTTAAATTTTTTTTCGTTTGTTTTAATAATATTGTTACATATGTTTGTAAATAATCTCTTTAAAACTTTTTAAGTATATTGTATTTTAAAAAACCTAAAAAATTAAAAAAAAAGTTGCCAGAGGTAGGACTCAAACTATCATTTTTGTGTTCAGAAGCTTTGCGTGCTAACCACTCGGCCACGCTGGCACGTTGTCTTAAAAATTTTAAAGCTATTTAATAATTTTTTTAAATGTAAATAAATGCTATTGATCAAAATTAGGAAGAGCTCGACGCAATGCATTTTTCAAGCAAAAGTCAAATTGTAAAACTTGATACATGTTTAAGGATGTTTTAACATTACATAATTTAAAGTTTACGTACATTACATATTTGCAAAAAGTAATATAAAGTACTACAACATTTTCTTGCCACTACTTCGGTTGCATTGGCCGCCAAGGGTTTCATGTCAAACACAATCGAAGGGGCACTATTACTACTAACACTATTAAGTTCAGCAACAATATAAAGAGATTAACAAAAAAACGAGTTAAATGTTATTTTGTCGTTAAATAACATTTAATGCAAAATGAGTTAAATTTTATTTAACAGCTTTTTTATTATTACTATAAAGAAATGCTTATTTTTTTTTTTTTTTTTTTTTTTATGTTAAATGATTAAATTTAATATTGCATTTTAAAAAATGAAAAAATCAAAAAAAAATGTTTGATTTTTTTTTGATTATAAGAAATTTGAAAAAATTTTTTTCAAATTTCTTTCTTTTCTCAACATTTGCATAAATGAATTAAAATGTGTTAAATTTTTGAGTTTTCAAAATTATTATTTCTTAAATCACTAATTGCGGATTTGCAACTACAAATGATTTTTTATTTAAAAAAAATTAGAGAGTAATAAATATTAAATGAGTATTAAAAATATTAAATATTTGTTTATTATTTTATTATTAAAATTACATTTCAGAATATATTGTTTATTAAGAAATAATCACTGCGATTTAACTTTTGTTATATATAATAAAATGTTTAACTTTAGTTTTGTGCAAACTTTTTGATGCAGCCGTTTATTTAAAATTTAATTTTGAGCAAAAAAAAATGTTTATGAAGGAAAACCGAAAAAAAAAATTGCGATAAAAATATGCTGTTTTCTTTTTAAGAACAAATAAAAGATAAAAATTGAACAATATTTAGTAATATTTTTAAATAGGTTTGACAGTTAAGTTAAACCCAAACATTAACTTTAATTTTAATAAACTTATATATATTTTTCAAATCAAAATTAAATTATGTATTTTTTAAAATGTAAATTAAATTATATATACTTTTTTATCAAAATAAAATTATATATTTTTATTAAATCAGTTTTAAATTAAATCATATTTTTTATCAGAATCAAATTTTGTTTTTTTGATCTTTGCTTCAAGCTTATAAAACCAATCATTAAAATAAAATAAAAAACAAAATAAAATTTAACTTTTAATTTTATTTGAGTTTTTTTCATTAGTAAATATTTACTTATGAAAAAATGTATTATTTAAATTTATCATTTAAATAGCACTTATATCAAACCTAATTTGTCATTCAAACCTCTGTAAGAAATATTTTTACATAAACGTCATTCAAAAGTTAATGTAACTTTTTTTAAAATTAATTTTATCTTACCGCAACTTAAAGTATAATTTAAAAGTTAAAAAATGATAAAAAGTTGCTTAACTGAAATGGCTTACTGCTTATGTAAAAATTGCGTACATAAATCGCTTTACGTTTAACGCTTTAAAACAAGGCCTGCTGATGGTTGTTTAATATTTGTTGAAAAGAAATGACATTATCTCTATCATGCATGGCTATCATCTATGTACTTCAAAAATATTTTTTGTTTTAGTGGTGGACTGGAATAAAGCATAATGTTAGTTTATTTTTAAAAAACTGCTGAAAACCCTCTGCAAGTTTTACCATGAGTTAATTGACCATGGAAGTCCTATAGGGCCTTAATCCACAATCTTATAAGTTCCCTTCATTCTACAAAAACTTATATAAACACATTTCTATTTTTTTTTCTAAGATGCATATACAGGTTTTATTACTGACAGTTTTTTCAGTATATTTAAATGTAGGAAGATCTCTAACATATCAAGAAGAAGTTTTGTGGCCTCTCCCCAGAGCAATTATGTGGTATAGATTTAAAATATCAAAATGTAGGGCACCAGTATTTCATTGTTTCATATATACCATAATTTAACTGTTTTAGCAAGATTTAATAAGTTCTTTAACTTTTTTATATTTTTATTTTATATTGGTTAAAATATGTTTACTAAATATTGCGATATTCCACGACTTTGAGTGCTGATTTTTTAAACTACTTATTGCATAGGGTATGATTTTTCCAGTTTTTTATTGGCTTGCTGGGGTATAGATTTATGTATTCGTGTTTGGTAAATTGTTCATTTTTAATCAATTTTAATATATAAGTTCTAATTCTACTAGCGAAATTAAGGAATGGTCCCTCATTGTTTATTTATTGCTTTTTTGTGTTTAATTAACTTTGCCTGTTCTTTTATCAAAAGAGTATATACCAATGTTTTTGTCCTTTTTAAATAATTTTAATGCTAATTTATTATTATATAGAAATTATTTTGAGACTGATTGCAACTTAAATTGCTTTTGTTTGGCGGTTTAACATTTTTAGTTGTGTTAACACATTTCCTAAATACCTAGTGTATACTTCATAGAATGCAAGTGTAAACAAAAATACATTAGCGATACAAAATTTTCTAGATTTTAAAACAACATTGCAGTACTAGAAAAAAAATGGGACCAATCTGTAGTTGGGCATCATTAAAAAATATATATATTTATGCTTTGTAAAATGTAAACATGTAAAAATGTTTAAAATAAAAGGCTAAAAGTTTTAATTAAATATGTTAAAAATAGAAGTTAAAAAATTTGAATTAAAAGTTTAGACGGACCCAAAAATTGGAGGTCTACTCCAATTTTTGGGTCCGTCTAAACATTTTAACACACTGATTGTTATTCAGACAATCAGTGTGTTAAAATGTAAATTTGGATGCCTTTTTTTCATACTTAATAAGAAGTCCAATTAATGCAAGCTACAAAGAAGCCATGAAAAAGTGAGATTACCATTAGTTTATAATTAAAGCTATTCATGATTTTTACTTAACTGAAAATTTGAACACCGGAAGTATTTCCTGGTAACATTTGTGATCACTTAATTTGTATATAATACTATTATTACGACTTATAGTTAATGTTCTGCGTTATAGACAAGTAATTCAAGGTCTTCCTTTCAAACCTGATTCAAATTTGTGGACATTTATCTATTTCATATTGTACTGGGGTTTCTTATTTGTATTAGATTTGTTCCCATGTTATAATTTTTACTCTCTTATTTTTCTTTTAGTTATGCAGCTTACAAATGTACATAAAATATACATAAGGTCTCTACATAAGCTATACATAAGGCCTCTATACTATAGCTATACATAAGGCCTTTACATATACAAAAGGCCTCTAAATAAGCTATACATAAGGCTTCTACATAAGCTATACATAAGGCCTCTACATAAGCTATACATAAGGCTTCTACATAAGCCATTTACAAGGCCTCTATACTATAGCTATACATAAGGTCCTATTCGTAGGCCTCTACATAAGCTATAGTTAAGTTGGATATGATGCAAATAGCTATCAATTTTGTCCTCCCTCATTTCTTTGTTTATAAAAATATTTTTACACATAGAGTTGGGTTTGAGTAAACAGTATTCACATATAAACACACACATATTTTTACCTATTTATCAGTCAATGTACTAACACACCCGGCATGTTTTAAAAATATTTTAAAACAATACAAAAACATTAACACTATTAATTATTATTATTATTATGTATATATGTATATATATATGTATATATATATATATGTTTATATATATATATATATATATATATATATATATATATATATATATATATATATATATATATATATATATATATATATATATATATATATATGTATATATGTATATATGTATATATGTATATATGTATATATGTATATGTATATATATATATATATATATATATATATATATATATATATATATGTATATATGTATATATGTATATATGTATATATATATATATATATATATATATATATATATATATATATATATATATATATATATATATATATATATATAATATTGTTTAGAACTCAATCGTTAGATGATAATATAGTCATGTCGTCAATGCTACAAGCTGATGAAATTAGTAAATACTTAGATGGACAAAATGGAACCACTTTATTAGATAATTTTGTTCACAAACTTTTAGTAAAATGTTATGGGGAGGTTAGTATTTATATTTGATATGTTTTGTGAATGTGAATAATATTTGTATACTTATTCTATATAATAAATTGTAAAGTTTTACATCTTTTTATTTTTATTTTATTTTTATTTTTAAATAAATAAAATTTGATTTTTATAAATTTTATAATTTTTTTTTTTGATATTGTTTATATTATCAATATTTTTTTCTTCTGAATTGTTTAACAGTGTTTTTTTCTTTCTTTTTTTTTTGCTGCTTTTTTGTTGGTGTTTTTTTTAATCAAATTAATATAATTTTAGTCTCTTGAGGCATTACTTCAACTTTTTCAACAGCGGCTTGCAAATATAAAGAAAAACCAAAGTGATGATGAGAATGTTGAAACATTAAATGTTATAAACAGATTCATCAGATCTGTTGTTCGCGTTTATGTGCTGTATACTGCTCCGACAGAAACCAATCAAATCAAGCGAAAAGGGTGACTTTTTTGAAATTAATTTCTTTCAAAATGTTTTGCATTTTAGAAAAAACCTATTTTTTTTTTATATTTTCTGATATAAGAACTTTTGATGACTCAGCTACATAAATGAAACTTTATGTGCAAATATAAAATAAACTGTGCAGCTACATAAATAATACTTTATTTACAAATATAAAGTAAAGTGTACAACTGCATAAATTACATAAGAGTGTGAAGTTAGTTAGGGGGCTGTAAACAAAGTTATCAATCAGAAACAGAAAACTGGATTTGTTGCTACACAAATGGTAATAAAATGTGGCAGAAAAAGAAAAACATTAACAAGAGATAAAGCTTATTTAATTTGAATATCTAAAATAAATCCAAGAATGACAAATTTTGACCTGCAAAAAGATTTGAAGGTTAACAGAGTGAATTTTCATGACTCTACAGTAAGAAAGTAGCTTATTGAATCTGTAAGAAAGGTAGTTAGACCACAGAAGAAGCAGTTATTGACAGAAAATACGAAGAAGATATAAACCTGAGTAAAGAAAAATATGTTAATTGAACAGTAGATGAATGAAAAATGATGAGACACTTTCCGATGTGACACACTTTATATTCAAAGGATTGCAAAGTGTGGTCATAATATGTAAGTAAGAACAGTCATTAAAAGTGGTCACACTATGTAAGCGTAGTGATAAAAAGTTAAGAGCAAAAGAGTCAGATGTAAAATTTCAAATTTCACTCTTAATATTAGGCCGGGTGAATAAAAATGAGCAATTGCTTTAACTCAGTAATTGGTTAGCTGTACGTAAATAAAAACTCCAGCAGTTTTGTCAAATTTTTATTTGCGTAAAGTTAAGCAATTTACTCAATGAATGTTTAGCTTTACATGAAAAAAACTTAATCAAAATTGTGTATGTTTTTATCTAGTGAAGCTGACCAATTACTAAGTAAAAGCAAATGCTTATTTTTATTCTTCCGGCCTATTGATCTTACTCTTAAAACTTCAACATATAATAGGCCATGTGTAGCAAAACAGTTTCAGGGAAAAAAATTTAAATGAAATCAAATTTGTTGTCATAACAATTGCTGCTAAAACTGGGGATTGCCGACGTCTCAAATTAAAGAGAAGATACAAATCTGATGGTTCCATTAAAGTGCGTGTATTACAATATAAAATAATCATCACTTGTTTGCTATGTCTTGGTCCTTCAATTAACAATGCAATAATTACATCATCTAATAACCTTATTACTCACAGTCGTGTACCATAGCAAAGTCCTTTCTTGGCATTCAAATTTCTGAGCATCATAGCAGTGAAATTTTCCTTTAGAGTTGGTTGATGAGGTGGCATACCACTTGGTGTCAGACTATGCAAATATTCTTGTTGAATCTCTTGAATAACATCTTGGTTATTGCACTCTGCAGTATCTAAGCTGTAGTATGTCTTTTCAGTTCCATTAATTTTTTTTTTAAAATCCTTGTACATTCTTAAGTTTTTATTCTTTGGACACAATATAGCATTTCTTTAAATAGCTTCAAGGTTGAGATTGTTAATTTTTCCCCCATAAATTTCAGTAATCAACATTAGCTCTACATACTTTATGTATTTATTATTATGTATTTACATACTTATGTACTTTTTTTTTTATTTTCATTATATCCGTACGTAGTTTGCCACTAGTTAATAATTTTTCATTTCTAAGTTTTAATACCGCATCTGCAAATACAGATTCTTCAACATTTGCGCACATGTTTTCTGTTAACTTTAGAGTCTGGAAGTGTTTCCTTGTTTTCAAGTATTTCAAAATGTTGTGTGTAATCTTGTTAACTTAAATGCCAACATGCTTACCCACTTTTTCTATTACTTATTTCTATTACCTTCTTCCCTTACTTATTTTTCTTAAAGTCCCAAGTTCTTTAACTTTTTTCATTGGCATTAATTCCTTAGTTAACTGATTGACTTCTCTGAATCCCACTGACCTACCAACTCTAAATTAGATTTAGAGTTAGTACTACGAAATATACTGCCAACTATATAATTAAATGCCTTATCTCCATCATGTAACCAAACTTGCATAAATTGGGTTGTTAGCACTAAGTTTCGTAAATTGTGAGTAACCTGGTCATGTACTCTCTCAACTGAAGTTTTTTCAAACAATGTTCCAATGCTAGATTCTCATTTGACTATCATTTGCCTTAACGTCGTAATTTACTTCCTTTTCTACACAGTTTCACTTTTTTTCTCATCTTAGTTAATTCTCAGTCATCAAATCCTTCCTTAACATTTGCGTGGTTTTTCTGGGATGATAATCCTGCTTTTATATGCAATTCAATCAGTTCATCATTACTCAAACCTTCCTTAATATTGGCTTTTCTATTTTCCATTATTTTCTATTCTTTTCTATTTTTTATTGACTTTTCTAGGATGATAACTGTTTTTCTACGCAATTCAGCTAATTCAGATTTGCATGCTTTAGCAGCAACTCTCTTTTTTTTGCATCAAATCAGCCATATACTTGTCTCGCTTAACAAATTTATCATAACTTAAATTTAATAAACACTTTGTGGTACTACATTCGATTTCTTTAGAATGTTCAGAAATAATGTTATTTCATCCACCTGTTCTGATTGAGCTACTGATAATTTTAAACATTTTAAAGATATAATAACTTTGTTTGATTTACCAACATCATTTAAATTGTCTACTATTATATTAAAAAAAAACCAATAACAATTTGATTGTTTTTTTATTTGGTAAACATTTTTATTTAAATAAATAGATTAATTCTTTTTAAAACAAATTTTTTTAAATTTTTTAATTGTGATTGTAATAAATAAAAAATAAAAGCTTGCTACATTTTTTGTTTTAATTTCTATTTCTATTTAATAGCATAGACATTCAATAGACAGTAATGCTAAGATAAAAGCCTTTTCAAAATAAATTGTATCAAAAATCATAATTAAAAAAAATCAAATTTATTTGTATTGAATGTAAATTTTTTTTCTGTGACTTGAACTAAAAAACATTACAGGAATCATTAACCAATAAATGTTGAGCTGCAAATAGGAGTCTCTAAACATTCAGAATTGAGCTGCTAGCATAATTAGTTAAGAAATTGAACTCCATTTTTATGAGGAATTAATATGATTTCAAATCAAAATCGAAAATTACGGTTTATGATTTAAATCATGATTTTAAATCTTACATTGCCTATATACATACATACATACATACATACATACATACATACATACATACATACATACATACATACATACATACATACATACATACATACATACATACATACATACATGCATACATACATACATTCTTACATACATACATACATACATTCATTCATACATACTTACGTACATACATACATACATACATACATACATACATACATACATACATACATACATACATACATACATACATACATACATACATACATACATGCATGCATGCATGGATACATACATACATACATACATACATACATACATACATACATACATACATACATACATACATACATACATTCATTCATACATACATACATACATACATACATACATACATACATACATGCATGCATGCGTACATACATTTATATACATATAAAAAATATATAATATATTAACGATTACACCATTTAACAATTATGCCATATATACTTATTTTTTTAATTTTTTTTAATTAAAATTAAAGTGCTTAAAACATTTGTGTTAACAAATAGTTAAACAATAATTGATAAGCTTGATTGTTTACAATTTGAAAAGTTACAGAAACAAATAATTTAGTATTTTATAAGTTTATTAAATTTTAAAATGTTGTTTAAACTACTTTTATTTTTAGAATATCTGCTGTGATAATGAAATGTAAACGAGTTTTTGCATCATTAAATGTATTTGCTGCAAAGCAAATTGCTGACATTGCAGCTTCATTGTTTGCGCCAGTCAGAATGGGAGTGGTTTATCCTTCTGCTCCTTTTACTCTTGGCACAGGTCTTGAAAGCGCAGCTGCTTGTGATGATTTGTTTACTGTTTTGCCTTTGCCTGGTCGTAAAGATAGTGTCAATCCATTAAGAGTCAGATTTGCAGACAATGATCAGGCTGATGATACAGAAGAAATGGAATCTGAGGTATTTATAAAAAAAATAATTAATTATAAATTATATATATATAATAATTAATTAAAAAAAAAAAAAATTCATGATACAAATAAATGAAGTTATGTATATTTCATCTTGTTAGGAATCACATGGTGTTGCATCAACAACTACAGAGTACCATCAGTACATGGATATGGGAGAAACAGATAGTGATTCGGATGACAGCCAAAACGGTATGTTATATACCATTATGCTTATATTTGTGTATATATATATACAGCCCTGGGAATTACGATC